ATTAATGACATCACACCCAGCGTCACAGCGCGTCGCCGACACACAATTAATGACATCACACCCAGCGTCACAGCGCGTCGCCGACACACAATGACATCACACCCAGAGTCACAGCACGTCACCGACACAGCATTAATGACATCATACCCGGCATCATAAGTCATCACCGACACAGCGTTAATGATGTCATATCTTGTGCAGTACCGTGGAGCTAATTAATATTATCCCAGCTACGTCCTAGCCCTCCTGCTAGCACGTCGTTATACGGTCATTATATGGTATCCCGTGCAATGCTGTATACGTTAATAGTCTTCAGACCTGTCCTAATCTAGTCATTCTTGTATTAGAGACAGCCTAGAGCCAGGTCATTAATCGTAATTATATCCCGTGCTCAGCTCAAAGGGGTGCCAGATGACACCGAGAGGCATCCCTCTGCCATGGGCTGGGGCAGCAGGGAGGGTGCTGCCCTGGGTCTGCCGGCATCTGCCCTACCACGTGGGACTGGGCGAGCTGCAGGGGCAGGAACTGTGAGCTAGCCTGGGATGCCCTGGCCTGACACCGCCAGCAATGTCCAGGAACTACCCACCTGGAAGAGCAGCTGGGGGTTAAATGCTTCCCCACTACCCCCTGATTCTGGGGGTTCCCTGAGTCCTGTCTCCAGACCCTAGCAAGCACAGCCCCTGGGGGGTCCCAGATGTGAGTTCTTATTTGGTCCGTCCAGCACCGCTAGGGGGATGGTTCAAATCACAGGCCATGTTTGGGCGTTTTCTAGGGGACCAGCGGGTGCAGCTCAGAAAGTGCCAGCTCCGCACCCCGACTGGTCCCTCCCTTGCAGCTACCGGATCCTGCCCGCCCTGCCCCAGCCCGCCAGGTGAGTGCAGCCACCAAGCCCTGCCGGGGGGCCTCAGAGGGATGACAGGCCAAGCCCTGGCTCCCGACTCTGGGGAGCGGGAGAGGCCCACAGGGAGGTGCTGAGTGACAGGCCACCGACAGGAGCGACACTCGAGTGAGAGGCTGCAGGTACCCCCCCAATGCCCCCTGCACCTCCCCCACTGCACCCCTCTCTGCCCCGTCCCCCCAGCAGTGGCCTCTATTTGGGCACTTGAACTGTGGGATCCCTCGGTGCCGGGGGTGCTCCCATGGGTGGGGGGGGCAAAGGGCCATTGGGGGTTTTCTCCTTCCTCGCGCACATCGAGCAGGGATGGTGCCAGTCCTGACCCCTGGGCTGCCCCACCCCCGGGGTCACTGCTCTCATGGTGAGGGGCTAGGTGGGGGGGCACCTGGCCACGTCCTGGGCGCTGGGGGGCGCTGGATGTGCTGAACCTGCCGGATATGCTGGGAAGCAGCTGCTTTGGGGACCCCAAATTTCACCCTCCATCCAGGGGGCAGGCACCCTAGACAGCTATCCTCCTGCCTCTTACACATTCCTGGGGGGGGCTCCCCAGGGCTGGGGGCTCCCTGGGGGACTTTTCCCCCTCCCTGACTCTCCCGGGGGGGGGGCAAATCTCTCTCTGCTGGTGCCCTGCAGGTCTGGGGGCCAAATGAGGCCCCGGGCCCCTGGGGGGCAGGGGTCCGCTGCGTCGGCCGGGGGGGGGGGTCTCTGCT